GTCTGTTTCTCTCATTAAAAAGTATGGCCATTATTAAAAACAATATGGAGGTTCCTCAGAAAATCAAAAATAGAACCATATAACCTGGCATGAGCACTACTGAGTATATACACAAAGGAAATGACATCATACTGAAGATAGGCCTACATACTCATGTTCATTACAGCTTTATTCACAACAAGTTAGGGAATTAACCTGAGTGTTCATCAGGGGAATAATGGGTAAGGAAATGGTAGTTTATGCACACAATGAAATATTATTTAGCCTTAAAAAAAGAAGGAAATCCTGTCACTTATGAGAACATGGATGAACCTGGAGGATACAGACTAAGTAAAATATGGCACTCATAGAAAGACAGACACAGGATCGTCTCACTTATATGTGGAATGTAGAAGAGTTTGAACCACCAGTGGCTGGAGGTGGAGAGGGCGATGCTGAGAAAATGAGACAAAAATCTCAATTAAATAAAAGGTTTTGTTTTTTCTTCTTTAAAGTGACTCTAGTTAATAATGGATCCTTAAAAGCTTCTAAGACCAGAGGTCTTAAAAATTCTTATCACAAAAAAGTGATTAGGTATGTGGGGTCATGTATGTGTTAATTAGTTGAGTTTAGCCATTTCACACATATACATATTTCAAAACAATACACTACACATGATAAATATAAATTTTTATTTTTTTTTTTGCAGTGCTAGGGATTGAATCCAAGGGCCTCACACTTGCTAAGAAAGTACTCTACCACTAAGTACATCCCCAGCCCAGACACATGATTTTCATTTGTTGATACCAAAAAGATAAGTGCTAATTCAATGGGAGGGACCTTTATCCCCTTGATTTGCTCATTTAGCTCCAGCATCCAGAAAGGAACACAGCATGTAAGTTGGTTGGTGTTCAATTTGGGACTTATTGGGCCACAATCAGTACCGAGAAGGGGCTGCTACTTTAGACTGGTCATGAACTTGTCAATTTCTTACTGTTCCACCCAGCCCATTTGATTCCCCTCCCTGTCAAGTCCTGTAGACTTTTTGGTTTGTAATTCTTCTTCTTTCTCTGCCACTTGTCATTCATTTCCTGGTATCACATTAATCTCCATTGCTATAATATTCAAAAAAGCATGTCATGATTATAGTTCATGGAAATCATCTCCTATTCTCCTTTTTCTCCTGGGGAAAATCTGTTTGAACACGGTAGAATCTCAGTAAATAGTTCTGGACTAAAGAGCTCCCTTGGCATTCTGTCAAGTGTGCTTCCTCCTCCCGTCTTTCCACATCTCTCCACTGCCAGGGGGTCACTACCATACAGGAGAGCACCTGGCAGACAGTCCACAATGAACACCATCCACTGTGGTGCCTCTGATGCCCCTGCACTGTAGTCCTTCAGCTGAAGGCCAAAGAATCCTAAGGGCCTATTTTGAAGGTGAGGCTTCATAGCTGCTCAGTTCTTTTAAACACTGAAACAGAACTGCCACTTCTTCCTGAAGCTCCAGTTATGGTTTAATAATAGTAAAATGCTATCTTTGCAGATGAATGTGCATGTCATACAAAATGTTTCCATTTTTGCCATAGTTGCTTAAAGGCTGATTGAGACATCACATTTGTTGCCTGAGTAATGTAAGCTGATCAATTCCAGAGGCTGAAATTCTTTTGGTCTTTCCTGTTTGGATTCTGTTCAGTTTTATCCTTCAATGACTCATGTTAAAATGTATCTTAACTTGTAAACCCCCTCATTCCTCTGAGTAGATGGAAGAATGGATTTTTTTTTTAATTAAAACTCTTCCAGGAATATTATCCTTTTTCACATTCTGTGAAATTCAGCCATTCCCCACCTAGCAAATGCATGATGGCGATGGCGTAGTGAGAAACTCCATCAATGTGGCTGCTGTTCTCGTAATGATCCGAGGCTGCTCCCGAGCACAGGACTATCTGGCAGCCTGGGAAAGGGCACTAGGCCCAGAAAGTGTGCCTGAAGAAGTCCTGCCTGTGTGACAGTCCTGTTTGGCATTTCCCCTGCCCTTACCAGCTGGGTCTTTATTGTGTGGGAGAGAAGAGAACAAGAGCTAAGGAGAAAACCACAGGGCACACCTTTGACAACCTCCCTGGACAAAGACGGTAGGGCTGGGGAGAGAGGGGAATTCTATCTCCAAACCCTTTCTGCAACTTTAATAAATGTTTTGGGGTTAGGCTTGTTATTTAGTATTTTTTGTGTGTTGAGAAACAAACATCTAATAGTATCCCACTCCTTCAATTCACTGTCATTTTATATTAGGAAGATCATATTCAGGGTTATGCTTAAGATTTTAGATCTAACTCAGATATCTTATATTAAATACTATCATTCTTTGGTAAAACTTCAACTCTACTATAATCTTATAATTAGAAGTATTGCATTTATTCAACTTTGCTATGTCAGAACAGCCAGTTACCTTTTCCTTAGAGGGCAGGCCAAAAATCCTGATAATTTACCAGTGGATCTTCATCTGCTGTGATTGTGGATGCTCCTTCTTCTTAATTCTGTTCAGATTAAAAAAAGAAAAAAGAAAAGGGATGAAACAGTGGATAAAGCTAATCTGAAGTTTATAAATCTTAGGACCAGGGATGTGGCTCAGTGCTATAGCACTTGCTAGGGTGTTCAAGGTCCTGGGTTCAATCCCTAGCACCACCACCAAAAAAAAAAAAAAAAAGAAATCTGTAATCTTATTAGTTACCAGGTGTTCTGAAATTATTACTTGTGCTTTGAAATGTCAAACAGATAAAATTCAAGGCACTTTACCAATTTTATGACAAATGTAATTCATTATTTTTTTACAATAAATTTAATTGGCTGTATTTACAATAAACTAAGAATAAATGACTACTCAATATGTACACAGAGTCAGCCTCCTGGGGCTTAAAATCATTGTGTGTAATTTGCCACTAATGAGTTTTCACTTAATTTTAAAAATAGCTATTCAGAAAGTCTGCTCCTATGAAACTTGTCAGAATCACAGATGTAACACACACACACATTCTGAATAAGAATACTATTTGGAGAGCTCCCTCTGTCCTCTATCATTCAGCAGTTTAAAGAAGCAATTGTTCATACTATAGACAGGAAAACAAAAAACTCAAATCCTCTTCCTAAAAAGCACAAGGAAGCTATGCACTCTTCATAGTTGTGCATACACGTGCATACGGGTATTTCAAGTGAAATGTGAGTACTACTCAATTTGGGGAGGATTCCCAAGGATTGGGAATTAGCAAACCAGAGGTAGAAATTGAGTTGATTTTAAACTTTGACATGCAGCAGAAGAAAAAAAGCAGCCAATACAGGCAACGACACAGCTACAGGGTAGATGCTGTCAAAGTATACAGCATAAGGCAGGCTGATTTCCTATGGAAAATTCCCTGCAAATACACTTCACTTCCTATAATCTTCACTGGCTATATATACCAAGGTCAGGCAATATGAATATTGCTTTGCTCAATTTTTATTTATTTTCATATACTCTAAGATGATAACCAAACATTTCTATGGCTTGGGATACTAAGATGCTAATAAAGCATCTCTTTAAAATATCTGAGTGACTGAATTCTTTTTGTGTATGTGTGTGTGTGGGGGGGGGTACCAGGGATTGAACCAAAAAGCACTTAACCACTAAGCCATAACCCTAGCCCTTTTTAATATTTTGAGACAGGGTCTCACTCAGTTGCATGGGTCTTGCTAAGTTGCTGAGGCTGGCTTTGAACTTGTGATCCTCCTGCCTCAGCCTTCCAAGCTGCTGGGATTTACAGGCGTGTGCCACTGTGCCTGACTTAGTGACTGAAATTCTACGCCATGTTTTATCCATTTATTCATAATCATCTTTATTGGCTTTTAAGTTATTCCCAGATCATACCCTTCCACTCTCCCTTTAATAAAACAATTTCAGTTTTATTCACTCACAAAATGTTACTTGGTAATGCTTAAAATCATTCCTACAATCTCTATAAACCAGATGTTTTTCTCCTCCAGATTTCTAATTCTTGGCCAATCTCCTACTTTTTAAAGAATTTCTCTGATTTCCATTTTAGTGTCCTTGTTCTGCCTTCCTTCCCATAAAAGCCACTATCTTACTTAAAATGTCTGTCTTGAGCCAAAATTAATTGCTTTGCATCATAAACATTTTACAGCTATGAAAAATCACCCAAAATAAGTTACAAAATACCATGACAGAGACAGTGTATTCAGATTTTATGGTCAAGAGAGCCATCCACCCCACCCATGGTGATGCCTTCAGAGGACAGTGGGGCACCCAGGGAGGGCCCTGCACATGCTGGGCAAGTGCTCTCCCACTAGCTGCCTTCCTTGCTCTCTGACAGCCTGGTTGCACTTCAGGCATAATCTGGATCACCCTTTGAGATATAATGTAGCCTGTCCAAATCCAGCAAGTAGCTCCTGACTATGATAAAGGAAGAACAAGGCGCTTAAAAAGCAAGTCAGTCTTGTTTTGAAGGATAGCAGTATAAACTTTCTTTTTATGTCTTAAACCTTAACTTTTAGGCAAATCGCCAAGCATTAGAGAGAGACGGTACTCTAGGCACTAAGGGAGGCCAGTGAGGGAAGAAAAAATGCTGGAGACGAGGCCCCACAGGGAGCACTACCAAGGTGGTGACTCAATTCTATTTTCTAAATTAGAGCTGGGAAAAAAATTGGAAGCCTTGAAGGACGACTGCAGTCTCTTCCTTCTATATACGAAAGGTCTGAAAGCAAGAGAGGTTTCCCCAAGCTGATTAATTTACTCAATGTTGAGTATGTGCTCCCTGCCCAGTCCAGAGCCTGACACCAAGACCAGCAGGGTCATGCAGCTGAGCCACTTAGTGCCCAAGTGACATGTTTTCTTTCCACCTACAAGCTTAAAATAATCCTTTTTTTTTTTTCTGGCTATTTTGCCTGGGGAACCTGGGGGGAAAATATGAATTTGTTCCTAATTTTCAAAACCCAGGAAGATTCACATAAAATTCCTAATTTCTAATCTCTCTTGGAAAGTCAAAAATCAGACCCCAGGGGACAGCTCTCTTGTAAGAGGTAACTGGGCTACCTCTTGTCATTTGTGTGTGCTTTCCACAGGAAAGTGATGACCTGGTGTCATCACTTATTTTCCTTCTGGGCCTGTCTCCTGTAGGCAGCCATGATTCTTTCTTTTCCTTTTTTTCCTTCCTTTCTTTTGGTACTGGGGATGAGCCACATTCCCACACCTTTGTTATTTTTCATTTTGAGGCAGGGTCTCACTGAGTTGCTTAGGGCCTTGCTAAATTGCTAAGGCTGGCTTCAAACTTGTGGCCCTCCTACCTCAGCCTCCTCACTCAGTCTCTGGGATTACAGGTGTGCACCACCACACCCAGCCTGAGCCTATACTGCTTTTTTCTAAGTCTCTTCTCCCCAATGAAAAATTGCAACCAAAAATTCAAAAGCAGTTTATATGTAATCTGTAGGTATATTCTCCAGAAATATGCATTAACAGGGTGCCTAACTCCATTTCTTCTGACCCCACTTACAATTGCTTCCAACCCCGATAGGTTGGTTCTCTTGGGTGAAGCAAATTTAAGAATGAAACTCCACACTCTGTACAACTTGTCTTTTCAATGGAGCTACTGGGTATCCCTCTCTTTGAAGGCCAGCCAGTCATTCGGTACCTACGAAGCTACAGGGACAGCTCTGAGAGTCACCCCACTCAGTACTGAGTGTTTGAGACACCAATGCAGAGGGTGCCATGCCACTCATGAAGAAGGACCCCGGCAACTCGGGCCCTGGCTTCAGGGCCCATTTCAATTTCTGCAGCCAGTCCTAGGGCATTCCCAGCCCTGTGCAGCTCCTCACAATGGAGTCTTAACTTGTTTTTAGTCTCATTTTCTGATTCAACATCCCTACACAATACTCAATCCTTCTTCTCTTTCCAAAAGGGTTCAGCAAAGCAATGTGTGTTAGTGTTGGGGCCAAACTTCTCCCATCTCAAGCCCACTCAGTTCAAGACCTACCTCTCCAAGTTCCACTGAGGTTCACTGAGCTACCTCTCCATTTTGCTGAGTCAATCATTTTTTCCATGAATTGTGACTCTACTGCACTATTTCACCAGTAGCCTAAAAGAGAACTAAAAGTATAATAAAAATTCCAGCAGATCTCCAATTTGTCACTTGCAAAGCCTTGGTCAAGTCGGACAATTAGAAGGTCAATTTATAAAAGTACAAGACAATAATAATACTGATGGTCACTGGCACTCACTGACACTTACTATGTCTCCAGTATTAGCACTAAGCCCTTTACTTGCATCTTCTCACCTAACCCATCCACTGCCTGATGAAAAAAACTCCACTATACTCTTTTAGCAGGGAGCCCAGGCCTGCAAGCTGAGGCAGTTGCATACTGAAGTTGAGATTAAAACCATTCTCCATTTCCACACATGACAGCAATTCCTACCTGTCCCCTAACACCTGCTTTTCCAACTGCTTGCACTCCTTTCTTTCTACCTTCTAAGTAACTCAGATCGCAGCCTTCAGAGCCTGGCTCAGGGCTGGGGCTGGCTCAGTGGCGGAGCACTTACTTGCCTAGTATGCACAAGACCCTGGGTTTGATCCTGAGCACAACCACACCCAGCTCAAGGGGGAAAAAAAACAAAACACAAATCACTATAGCTGGGCTTCTCAGAGGCAGGATCAGCCACAGTTCATCCCTGTACCCCCAGGGCCTGCTGAATTGAGTAGGATTAGACTGAACAAGGCTCGGACAGGCACTCATCCACTCAGGTTAATATACGCCTGGTCCATGATGGTCTTGCCTTGCTAAGGACATGCAATTAAGTTAGAGCAATAAGAAGCTGCTCTGGCATTTACCTAGTGCTTCCTTGCCAGACTCACCTACAGACCCTGGGAAAGAGGGGAAGAGGGATGAGAAGGGAAAGTCCAGGGCTCCCAGTGCTCTCCTGACAGACGGAAAGAGTCTAGGGCGTGAACTGCAGGGAGGCAGGCTTAGGCAATAGAAGTTCTCTCCCAGTATTTTGCCAAGGCAACATTAATCTCTTCCTATTTCTGGCCTGGGTTATAGAATTCTAAAATTCATAGAAAGGTCCTCAGTCAAGTCATTCTTTGCTAACTCTAACATAATCCTTTAGGAAAGAAGTTAAATAAACGAGGCACTAGCAAGCATTCTACTCTGAGACCATACTTATTAACACGACCAATAATAACAACTTTCACCCAGTGCTTACCCTGACCAGACCCTGAGTTAAGTTCTTTACATGCACAGTCTTGTTTAGCCATCACCACAGCCCTGTGTAGAACACTTGTAAGAAAATGGAGGTTGATGGCAGATAAATGGCTTGCCCTAGGTCACTATCAAATGGCTTACAGTAAAGGCAGTAGCTACTGGGGTAAAAGTGATTTTTATTAATAATGCATGCAGAAATTTTTACTTTTCCACCCTTGCTCTTTAAATATTCTTTCCAAAAGGCAGGCTGGGCAGCCTATAACAAAAGATCTAAAAGATCTTTAAAAGATGC